TTATAAACTGCTGAACTCTGGAATTTTCTGTTTCATATTTTCAGACCACAGTTGGCCACAGGTAGTTAAACCAGACTGACTTTGCATCTAGAACTTTCTATGATTCATTAATAATAGCAAACATTTCCAGAATGCCTGACTGAAGGCAGCCCTTGTGCCGAGTCCTGGGCATCTCTCATTGTATGTAACTCCTCCCAGCAAGCCTGGGAGGGTAAGGTCATCACCCCCATTGACTGGATGGGGAAGGCAAGCCTCAAAGTCATCCAGTTGGAAAGAAGTGAAGAGAGACCCACACCGGGACAGGATGACCCAGACGTTGTGGCAGGAGGCAGACAGATGAGCTGCGGCCCCCCCAGGATGGCAGACTGTGGGGGGAGGGCAGTTCATTCTGGCTCCTAGCAGGGACCTCTTGACCCCTAGAAGGGCACTCAGAACCTATTCAGAGACTTGTGACCAGGACCCTGGATAACTATAACCAAACCTGGTCCCCACTAAGTGACTTGTTTGAGGGCAAGGTGGCCCAACCCACAGTGGATGCGTCTCTGTTTTGACCCAAGGCCATGGACCAGGAGTGGGCTTGTGCCCAAACAGGTACTATTCTGTGCAGACAGTAGGAAGATCTTCCAGGTATGCTGAACAGCAGAAGCAACACAAAACAAGCATGCTTTGAAACCTCCTCTCCTGGGGTTTTCTGAGGAAACAGCTGATTTCCAGGGGTAGTCCATAGAGGCAGACTGAACAGATACCCCAGGAGCCCTTTCTGCCTGGGCCCCAGACAGCAGCTCCTGCTGCCCAGCAAGTGTGTGACATCCTCGTGCTGGGCCCCTGGGGCCTCTTCCGCAGCAAGGCCCCTGCTTCCCACAGCCCCTCTCTCTCCTCCCAGCATCCTGGGTCCTAATAGCTATTTATCGGGCCGTGATGCGGCTCTGATCGTGCGGCTTGTCTGCCAGCAGGAGCGGGATGCAGCATTGCGGCTGTGTACCCTGCTAAGAGATATTTAATAAATATGCAAATTGCTGCCTCTACCTCCTCAGGCAGGTGAGGAGCGGAGCGACGCTGGAGTTAAGTATTAAATCTGTTCACTATGAGCGCTAAGCGCAGAGGCAGGGACTGGAGCCCAACTTCCTGGGAAGGCTTCCATCTGGCACGCTGGAGCTTAGCTTTGGAAGGGGCCGAGAGCCGGAAAGGAAGGGGGACTTGCGACGGGATTTGATGAAACAGAGTTCAGCAGGGCAGTTTCACGGAAGAAGTCTGAGTGAGATGTTGGGAGCTGAAGGAATTGGTGCATTTGCACACCATTACAGTCCCAGCTGTAATTTATGGATTCCCACCTTTCTTGTACCACCCACCCATACACACTTCCTTCGCCCGGCAAACCCGCAATGCTCCCTCCTACGCTTGAAGCCCCACCCACCACTTACCCTTTTCTTAACCTCTCTTGTTCTCATTCATGTAACCACTACTCTGGCTCCACCCATGCGTCTGTTCCTCTGCTCACTCATTCATAAATCCACACTCCCATCAAACTACCAAGCCACTACCCAACCATGTGTCTATCTATCATCTGTCTGCTTTTTTGCTCATGTTTTCATTATCCATTCGTGCCCCTGTCCACACACACATACATGCATATGTAAGTCTATCTATCCATCCATCCATCCGTCTAAACATACATACATACATACATACATACATACATACATACATACATTTGTCCATTGATTCATTCATTTATCCACTCATGCATTAATCTATCTGTCAATTGATCCATCCACCCATCCATCCATGGATCAACCTATTCACTCATTCATCCTTCCACTTATCCATCTGTCTATCCATGGCTATTTCCTATCTGAAAAACCCTGTTCTAGGCACCAAGAATGAAGACATAATAATACAAGGACCCTTTTTGGGCCCCTCAGTGTATTTGAGGAGATCAAATGCTCAGGGTAACAGGTAACCTAGCACTCTCCTGCTACCCATAGCTTGGGGGAAAGTCCCATCCAAGACGTTCTTTCATCTTAGGGACTGGGAAACTCTTTGGCACAGGTAGGCTGTCAACTAGAATGGTGTGAATAGGTTAGTCTTCTGCCTCACTCCAAAATCAGCTCAGCTTATGTTGTGAGTGGGATGCGAGTTTGGGGGATGGAGAGATGATCCAGTCATAGCCTCCACGCCTAGGATGTTCATAGTCATGGGAGGAAGAGAGATCTAAAGTGAATACATGCTATGCAGTGCCAGAGCCTCACAGACACAGGATGGCATGCAGTAGTATGTGGCTATGTGGACAGTGTGGCTCCCCTGGGGTGCCTGGGGCTGATGAAAGAGGCAGGGAAGGAGCCAGCAAAGGACTGGCCCACACGGGGCATTCGCACCTCATCTGGCATTTGGACCAGAGCTTAGCGATGTGTGCCCTTCTGTTCTGGAGATGAGGCCTGGCTGAGCGCTGTGCTGAGCAGACATGCTGAGTTGTGAGAGGAGCCTGCTCGGCCCTTTCTTTGTTCCTGCTAGGTCCTGGCTCATGAACTCTGCGAGTCAGTGCACTCCCGTAAACAGCTAAGCAGTTGTTTATGGGAGACCCTTTACTCACCAGCGTTCTTCCCTCGTTGGGAGGGATGTGGTCCCCATGGAGAAAGCCACTATACTGTGCTGTTTTGATGCATAAGGCCCTGGGGTGGGGCTGGGACTGTGATCCTACAGGCTGGTCTGTGCTGTTCTCCATAACCAGAAGCAACAGCCCTTCCTGGTGAGCCTCAGGGGGTCTCACTCATTCCCTATAATCATTCATTCACATCTCATATCAGCACAGGCTGCCTTCCCTGACCAATAACTAAGAGGTGTTCGCATCCCATCCCCCCCCTAGTGTATGGACAATGAAATGTCCTTCCAGTACCTTCTCCGTGAGCTCCCATTGCCTTTCTCCATCCTATTCTACAAGCAGAAATGGAATTATATATATTTGCCATGGCCTGCCTGAGAAGGTCTCCCCAAGAGTCATGGGTAATCTCAGATGCAAATACCCTATGCAAATGCACCCTCTGGTTAAAATGAGGAAGGCAGTTGAAGTTGTGGGCTGTAAGGAGTTGTGAGCTGTAACTGGAGTCTCCACAGAGCCCTGATTTAAGCATACACTGGAACTGGTGGTTCTGAGGATGGAGTGTGTGGTTTCTTAGTGCCTGGGTCTCTGTCAACAAGTGTGGGCTGTTGGGACGTGGGGCAGGTCGCTAGGCTTCATTCTAACTGATTGGCTCTCAGCGAGGGGTGATTTGTCTTCCGGGGGACATTCGTCCATGGCTGGAGACATCTTGATCATCACAACTTGGAGGGGACCAGAGATGCTGTTGGACAGCCTTACAACACACGGGAAAAGTTAGTGGACCTAAGCTGTCCGACTGCCCAGGGTGGGAACCCTGGTTAGCCCTATTCCAGAGGCATGCCAAGATTTCAGGGAAGGAAGATGGGTTAACTCATCAGTTGGTGCCACTATCTCTCGGAAACAGTTGAATTAGTCAAGTCCAGCACCTCCTCCCCCTCCCCGCTTCTTCTCACTGCCGTGATCTCGGTGGCGTCCAGGCCCTACCTCTCTCTGTTTTGGCTGCATTCCATCCTCTTCCCTCCACACAGCCCACCCCACCCCACCTCTTTCTAACATCCCCGATCTATATCCCCAGACAGGGATGCTTCTGGTGAAATATATGCTGTTGCTTATCGTGCGGATGCGTTTTAATTTACATAAATTGTATTGGGCTATAGATCTCATTGTGTGCCTTAATTTTTTTCACTTAATGTTGTGTTTTGGGATCTACCTGCCGTGCTCCATAAATTTCCAGTTCCTCTACTGCAGATATTTCTAGAGTCTGATCCTCCTCTAGTGGATATCAAGTGACCCCAATGCCTCACCACTGGGGTGTCCCTGGGGACCTATGCCAGGACTTTCTCGAGTCTATCAGAAATGGGCTGGTGGGGTGAGAGAGTTCCACGCAGGGATTTCTTTCCTCTAGTGCCTGGTTTGCAGAATGCTGGTGTCCCCACATTGCTGTTAACCTGTGGCACGATCCAGCTCTCTAACTTTTCCCAAGCTGGTTGGTGTGAAGTGGCTGGTTCAATTTGAAGAAGGACAGCGGCATTTCCAAAGTGTTTTCTGGGACCTAGACCAAACAGAGTCCTAGGAGCGAGCTTGCTGGGAACCCATGACTTCCATATTTGCTTCTAAAGTAGGGGAAGGCCAGAGGGCTTTGGCTGCATGCTTGCTTGGAGGAGCCTCTGGGCCATCAGACAAACGGCAAAGGTTCCCTGGAGGCTTTTCCCAGCACTGTTGTGCTGAGCCTCAGGGTAGAGTGGTAAACAACAGAGACACATTTCCTTGCCCAGGGGAGCCTCGGGATGAGCGGGCAGAGAGTCAACCATTCCAGGTGTCGTTTATTGAATAGAAGTATAACGGTTGCTGCCAAATGGGCAGGAGGATGAAGGATGTGGGAGAAGTCCGGGAGAATGCTGGGAATTGGGACCTAGGAGGCGACAAGAATTTCGGTTGCGATGGGGAAGCGGAGGCACGGAGCATGTGCTCAGCCAGTGTAGCACGCACATGTGGCGAGGTGCCATGTGAGGAGCTGAGACAAGAAGCTGCAAAAGCCAGGAGCCTGCCTACCACGAGAGACAGGCACATTCTAGAAGGTGAGGACCGCCCATACACTACTAGAGGTGGTAAACAGGGACAGATGGGTGAGTCCCAATAGTAGTGGGAGAGATGCGTGCAGTCAGACCAAAGGTAGCTGGAGGATTGAGACCTGCTGGAAGCAAAATCCTGGAAGCCACCCTAGAGGTGGTGTCAGAGGACTAGAGAGTATTGCAACGCCCTCTTTTGCAAACCTGAGTGGTGACACAAAGCAGACATGGAGGATGGGGAAGAGGCTCCTCCCAGGCTTGAGGTCCCCCCCCCACACTGCACTGTGCAGGTTCCCAGGACCAGACATGGAGCTCTGTCCCTGGCCTGGAGCTCCCAGCCACTGGGAGCTCAGGGAGCCTCCACCACCTTCTCAGCCCATGTGCTGGGTTCCCCCATCAGATCAGGAGCTGTCTGAGCTCTGAGCTTCCCCCTCCATCATACCAGGCCCTTCATGGGCAGTTTCTCCCCACTCTGGTCTCTCAGAGCTCTGGACAAACCTCCACACTGTAGGGCTCGTGGCTGTGTCAGCCAGTGTGACAACTTACCCCAAGCAGGGTCATAGGAAGGGGACAGGCAATTGTAAATATATAACCCCAAACATTCCATTTTGGGGGGGGGGGCAGGGAGAGCAGGTTGAAGCAGGGTCTCACATGTTGCTCAGGATAGCCTGGTAATCACTATATAGTCCAGGCTAGCATCCCGAGTGTTGAGAATCCAGCGTGAGTCACTGAACTGTCCCCCAGTCCTGGTTCTTCCCTGAGCCTTTGGGTGCATGAAGACTTATTTTCTCCCTGTCTTGAGAGGAACCCCAGGGCTCTTGGGGGGATCAGTGCCTACAGGAAACCCCAAGTAGCATCCTGGTGAGGACTGCCAGCCCTCCATTTCCTCTTTTCTCCTCTGGGCATCACCTGGGATGTCGCAGGACAGAGGTGGGCCTCCCTCTGGATCAGACATCATCTCCTCTGTCTCCTTCTTGTTCTCTTCAGGCTCTCCTGCACCCCAGAGAAGGGGTCTGAGACTGTGTAGGGTGTCTCCCCAGCAATGGCTGTTGCAGGGGTCCATCACTCTATTGGCAAGCTTTATCCTTGCAGGAGTCTGAGGCCATTTGCCTTCAAAGACGATATACAATGTGTTTAGTGTTTAGGGCTTCTTTTAATAGCAGTGAAGTATATTTGCAGGGAGATCAGCTGCAGTCATGGAGAGGAAATAAAGAAGACGCTACTCAGGGAAGAGATTGCAGCTGCTGGGAGGGGAGGGAGGAGAACATTTAAGTGGGAGCCAGGGACAGGTTTTGTGGCAAACCTGAGTTCACCCAGTGGCCACACTGGAGGCGGGAGGTCATCACTCTCCATTTCCAAACGAAAGTGGGGGTGAAGAGAATGGAAATTCTGAGTCTGACCTCAGACTTGGATGAGTCCAAGTGACGATGAGATGGCCTTCAGTCAGACCCATGGCAGTCAAGGGGCTGCACTTGGAGTCAAAATTCTCCAGAACAGTCTTTGCCCTGGGCCCAGACATGAGGATACCAGGTCTTATACAGGTCTGATGGCACTGCCTATCAGCTCAGTGACTGAAGAGGTTGAGGCAGGAGGATTGCAAGTTCAAGTCCAGTCTAGGGTATAGAGTAAGTCCAAGGTCAGTCTAGGCAACTGAGTGAGGCACTGAAAATGAAATGCAGTAAGAGCTGGAGATGCAGCTCTGTGCTGCAATGCTTCCCTGGATTGCAGGAGGCCCTGTGGATACTGGGATTCTGCATGGAGGGAGGGAGGGAGAACAAGGGACAGAGCACTCCAGGACCTGGAGACAAAGAGCCCAGTGCCCTGGCAACTAGTCCCCTAGTTGCAACGAGGCATTGTGATCTAACCTTGGGACTGCTGGGAGGACTTGGTAGCATGGAAGCTGGGAACAGTCTGAAGAGCAACTGGCCTTTCCCAGGCTGAAATTGGGATTCTGGTTGTCTCCTTGAACACCCAGAGCAAAGACAGATGGTGCAGCCCTAGGCATGAGACCCCCCCAAATATCTAAATGGTGGTCCGGACCCCGGTTCACAACATTGGTTCAGCTGAACTTCCAAGGCTGTGGTAGGGAGTCTGCTTCCTGGTGAGGCAGGGGAGGGGAAACATGATGCTGAAGACAGATGGACCACGTCAGCCCATGCTTGCTGAAGCTTCCCAGCATGTCTTCTTCTTGACCTCCAGAGCTAGGACACAGGGCTCCATGAGGTAACATGCGCTCAGAGGACACGTCCCTGTATGCACAGAGCCGGAACAATCAGGCCCCTCCACCTCTCCCCACCCTCCAAGTCGTTAAGTCTTCCCCTTCCTCCAAGCTCTCTCAGTCTCTGCTGTCACACACCCCACCCCCAACCCCTTCAAGGCAGCACTCAGGTCCTGTCAGAAGGGAGAACAACCAGTGCTGAAGGAGAGGGACATCACCCCAAACCAGACCAGGCTCCTCTAGGAGAAAAGGAGGTGTGGTCAGTGCCCTGGGTAGGTATGAGGATACACCGAAAGACAGCAGCCAATAGAGAACTGTCTTCACCTGCGCTTCTCTTCCTGTTGCCTCAGGCCAGCCAGGGCCTGAAATACAAAATGAGAAGTTCTAGAATTAACTATTAAAATCGTGTGCTGTTCTGAGTGTCCTGATAAAGTCTACCACCACCTCCACTCCATCTGGACCAGAGTCATCTCTTCACACATTGTATCCATGTAGTATACACTACCCTCCCCTCACTCTCTTAGAGCTTGATGAAAAAAGAAAAACCCATTGTAGATAGAATTAAGGATGATCCAGGATTTAGGATTCCACTCTGGGCTCTGGAATGTGTCCCCGTAGATAGGGAGGTGGTTATGTTCAACTTGGCTTGAGAGGATTTGGCTAATGATAATATGAACTAAGGCTGTCTGCCCAGACACTAACCTCAGCTGCGCACAAGCATCTAAGGGACCTGGCCAGACAGCAGTGGAGATGGGTGGGGAGGGGGTATGGGATCCCCGGGAGTGACCCAGCATGCACTCAGATTAAGAGTGTGAACTTGAGGAACTATGTGGTCAGAGCTCAGGTTATAGGGTCTTACTTTATTGCTCCCCCAAAAGGAACCAAGACTGAACAAAACACTGAGGATTTCTGAGTCTTCTCGTGGCAACTTAACTATATAGAAAGAATTAAGGACAAATTGTTTAGAATGGTTGACTAGCGAATTAATTTTTAAATTGGTGTATGAATAATGTTTGTATATAAATAAGACCCAGGTAATATTTGATTATATAGTATTTGAGATATATTTCTACTATAGAATGAGCCATTTTAAAGTTTTATTTTTATTGTTTTTAAAGTGTGTGTGTGTGTGTGTGTGTGTGTGTGTGTGTGTGTGTGTGCTCATGTGCGCATGCGTATGTGTGTGCACGCCTGTGTATGTGCAAATGCAGGTACAAGCAGAGTTCAAAAGAGGGTGCCAGATCCCCAGGAGCTGGAGTTACAGGCAGTTGTGAGCTATCTGAGGTGTGTGCTGGGAACCGAACTTGGGTCCTCTGGAGGAGCAGCAAGCCATCTTAACCATGGAATCAACTCTCCATCCCCATGGTGTAATTTTAAAAATTAAAATTCCAGTTTAAGTGGTAGCCCATTTTTAAATCTGGTTGGAAAGGAAAAGGAGACAAAATTAATTTAAAAAATTCTATTCATTTTCTGATTTTTGTTTGGTGTTTTATTTTCTTAACTGTGTTGATTGGTTTTATTTGATCGTGATCTTTCCCCTCAGCACTGTGGCTGTGAGAGAACTCACACACTTATGCCTTCTCTCTCACACACACAAATCACAAATTCTTATAGTTGGCCACTAATTATGTTCTGTATCTACCACTGTATGTACCAGCCACTTCAGCAAGGTGTAGGAATTTCTAGAAGTAACTCCAGAGAGACTCAAGGAAGCACCCATTTCTGTGAACCCTCTTGAATTTTTTTTTTTTACAAGATTGCAAACAAAACCATGTACTGTGTAGCAGGTGGGAGAGATTTACACATGGCAGTGGACCAGTGCCAGCTCCCTGCATAGTGCCACATGCATTCCCAAACCTTCTCACTCAACTGTCCAAGAATCTGACAAGAGACGGACCCCAGGGGGCTTTGTGACTCTCTCAAGATCTCGATACTCCAAGCTGGAAGAGTCTCAATGTGAACCAGGCCCCATTATTGCCACAAGAGGGAGGTCTCACCAGTGCACAATGGCCATCCACAGGTTAGGTCACCCTGACACCATAGAGACCTTTCAACTGTGTTTCACAACCCCAGGTGGCTCTACCTTTCTCTCTGAAGTCCCCTTTCAACATTCACATTGCTGTCATGTTTTCACTTTCCAATCAGGGTTGTTTTGTTTTGTTCCTGTGTGTCCACATGTGCGTAGTATGTGGAAGCCAGAAACTGATGCCAAGTGTCTTCTTCAGTCCCTCTCCATGCATTTCTTGTTGTTGGGTATCATTGATTCAGCTAGCCTGGGTGCACCCCAGGGATCCTCTTTGCTTCTACAGCCCTGGGGTGACAGGCAGGCAGTACCACTCCGGCTTGTTTGTTTTTGATATGGGAGCTGGGGGTCTGAACTCAGGTCCTCACACTTGGGTGGCAAACATCTTACTGACTGAGTCATCTTTGGCATTCTCTCTCCCCATGTTCTAAGTTAGCATGCTTTTACCAGAAGCCTCCTTGGATGCTCCTGTGGCGGTCTGGAGGAGAATTTGGATGTGCAGCCACAAGCAGATGTGGGATCTGCTGCACAGAGCCTGTGCTTCCCAGTCCAGAGACAAAGAAATACACCCAGATCCCCAGACCCTGGCCGCCAGCCCCCGGATCTTAAGAAAGACAAAGAAAGACGGTGCATTTGGAAAGCAGAGAGGAGGGCACCCCCGGACAGCCAATTAAAGCACTTTTAATAGTTTCTGAGAATATATGTTCACGCTCCAAACCAATCTCAAGACTTAGTGGAGCAGAGATAACCGGGGCTTTGGCCATGTAAGATAAACCCACGAAATCGGAAATGAAGGCAATCCTGTTTTACATTAAGGGAAGCGGAAACCAACACGAATTCAGGTCCTCTTCTCCTCGCTGTGCGATGCCTGGCTACCCAAGAGAAGATGCTCCTGCTTGCAGGAGATAGCCTGGTGCTGGGGAGATACTGAACTGGTGAATAAAAGAAAAGACGGATCGCAGGACTAAAGATGAGCATCCCCCAGGCTCCAATCATTACAGCCCCAGGCAGGGCATGGTGGTTAGGGGACCCCAGGAAGAAAGAGGATATTGGGGTGAGCAGAGAAAAGGCAAGCAGTCCTCCTCTTAGCTTGCTGGTTTGTAAAATGCAATATAGGGCAATAAGTACTGTGTGTGTTTGTGTGCATGTGCGTGTGTGTGTGTGTGTGTGTGTGTGGACATGCATACATATTTGTGTGGGTGTTCGTATGTGTGTATATGTGCATGCATATTCATGTATGTGCATTCATGTGTGCCTGTGTACACGTGTGTGTGTGTGTGTGTGTGTGTGTGTGTGTGTGTGTGTGTGTGTGTGTACATGCATGCAGAAGCCAGAAATCAGCGTGTCATTCCTCAGGAGTCATCCATCTAGGTTTTCCGTGGCTGCTCTTGGTTTTGTTTTGTGTCTGGCCCAGTGTTGCTCATTAGCCTGGAGCTCACCAATTAGGCTATCCTTGCTGGCCAGCAAGCTCCAGGGGCCCGCCTGCCTTGTGATTGGTTGGGACTGCAAGCGCACACACCATGCCTGCACGGGGATCAAAGGCAGACCGATAGAACCCAGATCCTCCGGCTTGCCTGGCCAGCGCTTCACCCAGCCATCTCTCTAAGTGCTGATTTACCTTGTGTGAAATAGGACCCCGTGTAAGGGAAGGTTCCTACATTCGGGCCCCAGCAGGCTGGGCGCCAGGCTGGGAGTTGATCAACTGTGAGTTCAAATCCAAACGCTTCTGATGTCAGGGACAAGTGATTGGGCACAGAAAGATGGCAGCCCAGAGGGACCCTTCTGTGCCTGGAGCCTCTTCCAGTAGGAGTTTCCCATGCCTGCAAGGAACACCTCTCCCCCCCATCTGCAGCTCTGACCCTGTGATTTCCTTCCTTTGTGTCCCAGGTGTTCCAGTTTCTGGCTTCACCTGGGCCAAGGCTGGAGTAGGGGCAGGGGCCTCTGTTCAAACTCGGACTCCTCTACTTCCATGCTGTGCAACTTTGGTCAGGCTGTTTAACCTCTCTGAGCATCTGCCTTTTCGTCCACAGAACAGGTACCATCACCGTAACTGCCTCCTAAGGCTTGCAGGGGCATGATGAGATGAAGTTTATAAAGCGATGTCACCTGTCATCTGGGAAGCTGTAAAAATGTCAATGTCAGGGTTGCTTCCTAACCACCTGCCCCAGAGTCTCCAGGAAGAGACTGGAATTGCTAGGTATGGCTGCCCAGGGCTGCAATGCAGAGGGCACCTTGTTGTGTACTTCAGCGGCATGCTTCTGGTGCATGACTCCTTGGCAGCATTTGGAAAAGGTGGCACTGAGTGTCTGCCAGGCTCTCACGGTTGCCTCTGACCCTCTCTGAACTTACCCAAGTTATGAGGTCTGTGCTCCTCCTTGGGGGTGGTCTCGTGCGTTTGCTGAGGGCACAGGCTAGAAAGTCAGGCAAACCTCATTTCATACTCTGGTCTTACTGATTCCAGCTGGGAACCCAACTCGGGCCATTGTGCACTTATCTGAGAGTCTACCACATCCCCGAAACACCGCAGTCCCCTGAATGGCTCCACCGAAGGCGTTGAATCCTGTCCATCTTTCTCTTCAGACACACCTAACACACAGCTACACCCACTTCAGAGCCCTTGCTCATGTGTGCTCTCTGTCCCGGGCTCCTTTTCATACTGCAAACTTCAAATTAAAGGTCACACTTCAGACAGGATCTCACTGACCCCTGCTGAGATGCCCTCCCCGGTCCAGGAACTGCGTGTCCCTCCTGTTTGACTGTTTTCCTCCAAGCCCTGAGGCAATGTCAACTCACCTTGTTGACTTTTACTTAACAACCAGGGTCCCAGTGAAGGTTCTCTGAGGCAGAGCGTCTTCCTTCAGTTCTCTCTGCACTCTCAAGGCACTCAGTATGTCATCGGCATTCAGCAAATATTTCCTTAGGGAAGGAACGGAGGATGATGCTACCTACTGTCTTAGCAACAGTAGTCACTGAGCCCACCCCCACCCCTAGACACAGCCAACCCTGTTCCAGACACTGTGTTCATTACGCCTGCTCATTTCTTTGTGTTACAGAAGGCACTGAGAACCAGAGAGGTTACAGTTCATACTCCAGGTCACACAGCCAGGCCCCCGGGATGGAGCCAGGATGTGAAACTGGGATGTCTGGCTCCAGAGCCAGCAAGACTAATGAGAAAATGAATGGATGAGAGAGGGAGAGAGGGGATGGATGAAGAGTGGGTGATGCACTGCACACATGCCCACTCGTGGTCCACAGCCCGAGGTGATGATGAATGTTGGCAGGAAGCTTCCTCCTCTAATGAAACAGCTACTTTGCATGGCCCCCAAGGGCCCCAGCCTGGCCACGCCCTCCGCCCTCATCACTCATCAGCTGTCTTTGGCTCTGTGATCAAACTACAAACATCCATGCAAAGACATCGTGCTATATTTTAAACAGCCAGGGATGTAAATATTTAAAGGAGCCATGTGAATTATTGAGTCTGCCTACGTGGGTTCTACTTGTTGTCATGTCCTGGGCTCATGCTCATCCTTCAGCTTTGGTTTGATCTCTTCCCCCACGCCTCCAGAGAGGCCTCGGCCTTGGAATGGGACAACTGCGGCAAGAAGGGGGTCAGGGCTTTCGTCCAGACCAGGAGGTTTCGATCTATCTTCCTCTGGGGCTAGTAGACCATGTGGTTGGACGTTTGCCAGATTCTGTTGGTTTTAGCGTTGGACCATTTAATGATCACCCGTTGCCTTGACTACTTTTCTCAGGGTGATAAAATACCGGACAGAAGAAGTTGAAGGGTGGAGGGTCTATTCCGACTTAGTTGCAGCCCATCATGGTACGGACGTCACCGAGGCAGGAGCTGGAGGCAGTGGTCACATTGCGCCTGCAGTCAGGAAACAGAGAGAGACGGATGCTGGGGTCCAACTCGCCTTCTCCTTTTTATGTGGTCTGGGACCCCGCCCAGGGAACGACACTGCTCTCTCTGAAGGTTTGTCTTCCCACCGTGGTAAACCTATGGAGACAGTCCTTCCCAGGCATGCCCGGATGGAGGCTTGTCTCCTAGGCGATGCCAGATGCTGTCAAGTGGACAGTCAGCATCAACCATCACAAATACTCTACTCAAAGCTGTCACCGGCTCAGTGGGTTAAGATGCTTGCAGCCAAGCGTGATGACCTGAGTTCAATCCCCAGAATTCACATGGTGGAAGGAAAGAACCAACTCCTGCAAGCTGTCCTCTGACCCTCACATACATGCTATGATATGTGTACACACACATATGTGCACATATGCACACACATATACACATACATATACACACATACAGACACATACACACATATACATACACACACATATACATACATACACACATACACACATTCACATATACACATACACACATGCACACACATGCACATACATACACATACACACGCATGCACACACATACACACATACACACATACACATACATACACATATATACACACACATACACATATACACATACATATGCACATTCACATACACACATACACAACATACATACATGTATATATACACACATGCAGACATGCAGACATACATACACATATACACACATACACAGCACACATGCATGTATATATACACACATACACACACATGCACACACATACATACACATATACACACATTCACATATACCCATATACATATACACACATGCACACATACACACATACATACACATGTGAATTTTTTTTTAATGTATTTGCTATCATTGCCCCTTCTCCTCCTCAAAAGCTAGCCCAGTGTGGCTCACCCTCACCCTGCCCCCCTTTTCTCCCCTTTCCCAGTGTTTATTACTTTCTAACAAACTGAAAACATACTCTTATCTATGGTGTACGGGAAGGCTAGCTGGTGCCTGTGTGATGTGTTCTGTATGGACGAGCCATGGCACAAAGACAGGTCGGTTTCCTTGTGCACACGAGGCTGAGCATAAATACAGGCCGTGTGTGTCTATGTCACACAGAAGTGTGGCCTCGCTCCTGTCCACCCCTCCCTGCTGGTGTACACGCCCCTCAGAGCTAGAGTGTTTGCTTTTTATTCATGGGTGGGTCCCGCGCTGGCTAATTTTTTGTCAACTTGACCCAGGTCAGGGTTATGTGGGAAAATAAACCTGAATTGAGAAAATGCCTCCATCACACTGGCCCTTGGGCAAGTCTGTGGGGGCATCTCCTTGATTAATGATGTGGGAGGACCCAGCCCACCACGGGTGGTGCCACCCCTGGGCCGATGCTCCTAAGTCGTATTAGAAAGCAGGCTGAACCAGCCATAAGGGCAAGCCGTAGTGCTCCTCATGGCCTCTGTTTCAGTTCCTGTCTCAAGGTTCCTGCCTGGAATTCCTGCCCTGGATTCCCTTCGTGACAGGCTGCAGCTGTAAGCTGAAACAAGACCCCTCCCCAGGTTGCTTTTGGTCATGGTGTTTATTGTAATACTAGAAAGTGAACTAAGACAGATTCCAAGTACCTAGAACACAGCAGAATCACATTAAGCATCTATTGAATGAATGAGTGAGCGAGCAAGTGATGAGGTAATGAATGACTTTCAAGGCAGTCCCCTTCTCCAGCAGACCCCTCCTAGGAAACAGAGCACTGCTCTGTGTCCCACGGAAGCCACTTGAGGAGAGGAATGAATGAGTGAGTGAAGGATGAGATAATGAATGAATGAGTGATAAGACAATGAATGAATGAGTGAATGGTGAGAAGTGAATGAATGAGTGAGTGAGTGATGAGATAATGAATGAATGAGTGAGTGATGAAATAATGAATGAGTGAATGGTGAGAAATGAGTGAATGAGTGAGTGAGTGATGAGGTAATGAATGAATGAATGAGTGATGAGATAATTAGTGAGTGATGGGAACAGCCCCAGACAAGGCAGTAACAGCTGGATCCACACCAGCCTCATCACCATCACTATTCTAGTAAAGGTTTCTCCCCCACTTCTACCAGGCAGGCCTGTAGTCACTTCCCTCCTACAGAAGAAGAACCTGCGTCCCCGATTGTCCCTGTCCTCAAGTGGCTTCCGTGGGACACAGAGCAGCGCTCTGTTCTTAGGAGGGGTCTGCTGGAGAAGGGGACAGCCTTGAAAGGCAGTCTTCCTTTCCCGGGACCACCTGTGTGCCATCTCCACCACGGAGAGCTGTACTGAGCCCAGCCCAGCTTATGGCATCAGCAGCCTCCACTTCACAGCTGGGCACGTTGGACTCTGAGGCTCTTCACAGAACCCCCGGCACCCAGGGCTCACCTCCCAGGCCATGGCCTCCTCTGCCTCATGCACCTGGTTTTACAAACCCCTGTGATGGTCAATCTTGATTGTCAGTTTGGTTGGCCCAGAACTAAGAGACATACTTCTGGGAGAGTCCATAAGGACATTGCCAGAGGATTAGCTTAGGGTACAAGGCCCTCCCTCAGAGTGGGTGGTACCTTCCAAGGGAAGGCCCATATGTATAAAGAGGTCTGAGAAAATCCAGCGTTGCCTGCCTGCCTTTATTCTTGCTGATCCGTGCATGCATCGCTGAGGGTGCAGCCTCTGTCCTTTGCTGACTTCAGACTGTACTTAGCATCCACAAGGCCCCAAGTTCAAGCTCCCGGAGGTGGGGGAGGGGCTTGCTGGAGTTCTGTTCATGAGCTCTGTGCTTTAAGGGGTGCCACTCTGTCCAAGTGGGTATGGATGAAGGGAGAGAGCAATATCCGACAGTGATGCCAGTGTGGGCACCTGGGAGCCATCTGCAGTAAGATTCAGGCTCTGAGCGGCATGACTGGTATTCGCACTACCTGCTAGAGAAGATGTCCGTCCCCCACCCCCACCCCCACCCCCACCCCGACCCGGGAGGGCTGGAGGAGGGCCAATCATCGCCGGCCACCCCAGCCCAGCCTCCCCACTGGCTGCTGTCGCTGATGATTCATTACAAATGAGAAAGTGAAGACGGGGACTGAGCCGGGGACCCCGACAAGGGACAGAATCCCACATAAGCGGGCCCTTTGATCATTGCAGCGATTTGTGCAGAGGCTTGTTAGCTCCCGGAAGATCAAACGGGGAAGATAATGAGCAATTTTCAGGTGGTCGGTGCAGCCTGCGAGGTGACAACCCAATTTAGTCAGCGTCTTAATCGCGTCAGAATCCCTGACTTGGCGCTGTTTGCGCGTCTATTACTCCATTACGCCGAGCGCTCGGCCGGCTCTGGGCTCCTCCGTTCCAGTCTCTTCAAGTATTTATCTCCATGCAATTTAATTAAAGTCTAGTGTTTAATGACACAATGTACGCTAATTATTTCTTGTTGGTTGTTGAGGGTGGCTATTTCCACCCCTCCCTCCGCCCTTTCGCAACAAAGCAGAATGTCATGTCACCAAGCGAAGGCTGGGACAAGGACAGGCTGGGTGATCTGATGATATGTGTGGTGCAGAGGCTTCTGAGGAAAGTCAGGACATCCTTGATTCCTTCTCCATGTCATGTGGGGTGAGGTCTTTCTCCGTAGACTTACTGTGTAAAGAGGCCCCAGGCACCCCGGAAGACAGGCTGAATTCTGTTGGCAAATTGACCTGTGATCAGCTGATCTACCCACACAGCAGGAAGGTGAGACTGTGCCCAAGGGTAGCCAGGAACGGAGGCTGCGGCGCCACTTTTCATATGGCTGTGACAAAGTAAATACCAGAAGCAACTTTTTAAAAGAAGAAAGGGTTATTTTGAACCACAGTTCAAGGGTCCCTTATGGTGGGGACACAGAGTGGCGGCCTTCTCCTCCTTCCTTACTCAGCCACACCAGCCCACAGGATGGTCGCACTCACCTGCAGGGTGGAGCTCCTTGCCTCCATCCAATCTAGACACTCCCTCATAGGCATGGCGAGAGGTTTGCTTTGTTCTAGGTCATTCTAAACCCTGTCAAGTTGACAATTGCTAAAGCCTTGCTCTGTGACCCAAGTCTTTTGTGGTTTAGTTCTGAGTCCCGGGCAGAAAAGAATCTTCCTTATGGGTGTGGGCTCAGAGGGGAAAGCACCTTGTAGCCCCCAGCTGGTGGACAAACAGCCTCCTTCAGGCAGATTATCTGCTCACAAGTGTCCAAGGAAGAGAGCGTGCCTGGGTCTTCTGTCAGACAGCCTAGGATGTCAGCCGTGTTCCCTCAGGAGGGTCGTTTTCTCCTTCTGGGCCTCAGCCTCCTCACCAAGGACTTATAAAACCCATTGCGGTCAGAAGGAACAACATAAGCACACCCCAAGCCTTCACCCGACACACACAGCTGACCCAGGGAAGGACTCCTGCACTGTGGTCATCTCCTATGTTCATTGAGTATGCCTGGGAAGGCTCTGCTGAGGTGACCAGAGGAGCCCCAAGTCAGCTGGTGAAGAGGCATGAGGCACAGTTTCTTCTCCAGACTGTCCCGGGGGTGGCCCAGCTCAAGATGCATGTTGCAGGACACGGGGCAGGCAGGCAGGGCCAGGAGAGACTGTCAATCTGGAAATCCAGGCTGCTGGGACACATCAGTTAGACAGTATAGGACAGAGTTCAAGGGCAAGGCAAGGAAGAGCTGAGCTTTCCATGTCCCTGAGCAAGCCAGTTCACCAATTCACCAATCAAGCCTCATGCCCTAGGCTGGGGATGTAGTTCAGTTGGTAGGGTACTTACCTAGCATGTACTAGGACCTGGGTTCTATTCCTAGCACCATAAAAAACCAGGGGTGGAGGTATATCCCTACATTCCCAGCATTCATGAAAATCAGATGTTCAAGGTCATCCTTGCCTATGTTTTGCATTAGAGGCCAGCCTGGGCTACATGAGACCCTATCTGGAAAAAAAAAAAGTCACACAGGGACAAGATTAGTATCTGACTTCACCAGGCAGATTAAATGAAATCACACTGCCAATATACGGGAAGTGACTGATGGCTTCAGATTACTTCTGCTGCTAGGGGACCACAGCACCCACTCCAAATACAGTGTCCTCAGTTGCAGAGGTCAGAGCTGGGCACAGAGAGAGTCCCAGTCACTATCAGCTACAAAATGACATCAGACTGACATTTCTGTCACTACAACCTTAACATATTTCTCCTTTGATTACCCTGGAGAGGTCAGCAGCTTCCTCTCCGAAGGCTATGTGGCATTGGACAGGGGCCAGGAGTCCTGGGAACCTGCCCTGCCTTCTGTCTGTTTGGGAGAAGCAGTCCACAGTGAGTCCTTCCACAGAGGGTAGCAGTGGTGCTAGGATCTTAGAGACCTCTCTGTCCCTTTCGACCTCAGTTGGGAACAGGGTTTATTCTGGTTCACAGTTTGAGGGCACAGTCC